TTCCTGCCCAAGACTAAGACTAACTGTTCAGAGTAAGAAGATAACTTCCAGCAAAGAAAACTTCTTTATTATTATTTTATATTTTTTTTAACCTAAACTCCCATGATGTATAATGTCCTAACTGAACTGCAGAACTATGGTCATCAGAGCCAATAATGCTCCCATTATGCAGCTCTTCACATTCCTGCAGTCTTACTTTGGCAGAGTTATCTGCTTTGGAGGCTCATAAATCCAGAATTTTAGCAATCTGAAGCTCAGTTCAGAGCAGAACATTTCAGTAACATCTTGCCACCCTCATAGTTTTCAGATCTATAACCTCAGGACATTTGATACTCAGCCATTGGTACCACAGAGAGTGAATCTGGTACAAAAATTCATTTACAGAACTACCATTCAGACCATTAATATCAATCGTATTCTCCTTTTTGTTATTAAATATTGCCTTCCTAATTACATTCTGTGAGTTGCAGGAAGGAAATGCAGATACTTTCCTCATTCTTATCCATTGCTCACACTTTGTAATGATAAAGCAGATCTTTGAATGGTCTCAGGGTTTATTCCACAATTTAATGTGGAATTTCAAATAATCTAACAGATGGCATTGTCATCGTTTTTCCTTCCCCACAGAATGAAAATGAACAAACACTTGACATTTCCAATATGTCTTCATCTACTGCAAGAATTTTTAGAAGCCCTGAAAGAGTGTTATCTGCTTTGCCTTAGATGGACAGGATTGTTAGATGTGTCCTCGCTATCTGCTCTCCTACATTAGCAACACAACTGCGTGGAACAGAAATGTAAAACCACAGAAACAACGTGCTTGCATTTTGCACCATGAGCTGTGTCCAGAAGGAAGCACAAACATGCAATGCTACAGCTAGTTCTGCAGAAGAGTGGAGTATTTTCATTAGAGAAATTAGCTGGAGCTGCTGAAGTGCTGAGAAATCACATCACATTTACAAACCTACAGCAGATGCATCAGTTGGCAAAAGGTTCCTGCAGTCAGTAATTTGCCATTCATCAGGGATTGCCTCTTCAATCTGTGATCCAAGCCAGGGTGCAGATGACACACAAGGATAAATTTAGACATGGCTGAAAACAGTTATTTTGATTAAGTCTCTAGCCAATGACAGTAAGATTCTGCCTGTTCCTCCCCTTCACCCTCACTCACCTCCTCCAGTAAAGGAGGCAGAGATTGCGCTAGTAGAACTTGTCTGCATTTTGCATATAGTAGATGTTTTGATGTACTTATCGCTGTTTTGGAGTCTGTTCAACACAGAAGGGAATGGCTTTTGATTGAATGTGATACCTTGCTTCAGTGTTAGCATCAGTTTAGTTAGTACTGGGAAACATCGATGTTTTAACCTGTGAAAGAGAGACTATCTTAAAACGAAGTAAAATTGTCTTCTCCCTGATCTCTCCTTCCACTGGGAGAAACCCTCAGGCTGGGTGAGCCGATTCTTGCTGGGACATACTTGCTGCTTTCTTGAGTCCATGTGATGAAATTAACTTTCTAAATGTGTGATGTAGTGTGGTATCCAAGCAACAATTGGTAGTCACTGCTTTCACTTGTTATCGGACTCAAACCTTGCTGGACACCAGCAGCAAAGTTGTCACCTGGCCCCTGTGGCTTCTGAGCTGCTACTCAGTCATTCCAGCCTCTAACAGTTCTGATGTTTCCCAGTTGTAGGAACAGGAGCTGTTTGTCTGATCCAGTACACAGGTGTGGTAAAAGCAGTGCCAACTAGGCTCTTAAAAACCACCAACAAAAGTATCATTTAATCCACTTCAGCTATTTTATTGGAAACAGAGTGATGTTAATCCTGGCTGACAAACTTGTATCTGCTAAACATCAGCAAGCTGTGATCATAAGCAGCTCTGTTTTTTCAAAAGAAATAATAAAATGGAGGTGAAATGCTACTTTTTAAATGGTTGTACAGATACCTTAACATTATAGGAGGGGTTCTTATGAACAGTAGCTTCCTTTGGGCCTGTGCCTCTGTGTGTGTAACTTAAACCCTGCTGTAGCTGAAGGCTAGAATTTGTGGGTATCCTTAAATTGTCTTGCAATTCCTTTCCCCTCATTTCTTTTTTTGGTGTAGATTTGAGAAGAGGTTATTCCTTGGCTCCTTAATGCAGTTACTGCTGCTTGCACTGGTGTTATGTTAGAGCAGAGAAAGACAGGCAGAACTGGGGGTGGAAAATAGAGCTGAAGGGCTGGAGTTGCAATCTGTAAAGTATAATTGCAAAATAAAATAGCAAACAGTTTGGAAAGAGGAGATTTTATCTTATTTACTCTGTGGTAATTGTTGGCACTTGATTACAATCAGCCACAAGCCTGCATATGATTGATATCACACTAGCCAGAGCAACCCAAAATAGCCCAACATTTGAGTCATTTTAGTCTTTTCATAATCTAATGCTGTCACAAATAAAAGCCAGTGTAGCATGTAAGCAAATCGAACTCTCTTCATAGGTAGACTAGGGCAGATTGGGCAATGCTGTGGGAAGGCATACTCAGAAAGCACTGAATGTGTCTTACCTAGAATTAGCTCCTTTTTGCCCATTAACCTTAATATTTCTGAAATTAGTTAAGTAGTTCTATGCCTAGCTTGTTAGGGTAAGGAGGCTGATGGAGGAGAGGGAAGAACCAACATTAGTTAAAATCTCACTCATTCTCAGAAAGAACCTTGATGAGCAAAATTCTTAGCTGGGCTTTGTCGGAAGCTTGTTGAGCCCTTCCCTGCTGCTGGGCCAAGCAAACTTGAAATGAGTTGGAAATTTCCTGCTGAAGCATCTGTAGATACTGGTTTAATCTTTAGCTCTTGAGTTCCCTCCTATCATTGATCCCCACAGCCTTGTTGAGAGAAGAAGAAAGAATCCTATCACCAGTACAGGATACAAAGGAGGTAATCTTTTCCTGAAATTCTCCAAGTTTCTTTTAAGGCCTCTTCCTAAGGGAATTACACTGGTAGGCTCAAAGCCTTGATGAATTCAGTGAGCTCCCAGGACTACAGTAACATGAGTAATACACATTGCAGCAGCCAAGAATATGTGTAACTATTTTTCCTTTATTACTAATTGCAGTTTTATGTGGTCCTTGCAGGCAGTGTTGTGCCTGTGGCAGGGATTTCTGCACCAAAACACTGGATGACACCATAGATCTGCTTTTGGCTTTTTAGGAGTATCTTTTGCAAACCATTTTTGGGAATGATCTGTTTAGAGAACAGGCAGAGAACTACAAGCTACATGAACCTGTCAAGTGGATTAGTCATTAAACACCTTTGTGGATGTTTGAATTCAGAATTAAAGCGGTTTTAAGTGGATTTAGCTTCCAAAGTAAATTCAGGTAAATCAAATGAAGGTTAATTCAGTGTAAAGGTGTGGGCAGACATCCTCATTAAGGGCTATGTGGAACAACTGAGAACATAACTGCTTAGCTGCTCTTCACCATGCTTCTGCTCCCTTCATGCTCCTTTAGTGTTTCACAGCTCAGCTCACAGAATGGGGTGCTTGCCAGTCTTACACTATGGTAGGTTATTTTGGATGAATTCTGCTCTGAATACTTTAATGAGCAGTTTAGTCTGGTTGATTGCATTGACATTTGCAGGGATTGCAGCTGTGCTGCACTTAGCTGACTGCAGTGGAGAGTGTGGCCCTCAGCTGATGCTGTAACAAGTAACCCTGGAAAAGTCAACCCTGTGAACAGCTGTTTGCAAAATGAGAGTGTGTCCATGCCTGTAGAATACATGTACTCAGGATGCCTGCGGGGCCTTGAGGGTATTTATTGAAGGATCAACTTAAGAAGCGGAGGCCGTGGAGATGCTGTGAGGGCTGGAGCAGCTCTGCTCTGGAGCCAGGCTGAGAGAGCTGGGCTGGTTCAGCCTGGAGAAGAGAAGGCTCCTTAAGGGGAGACCTTAGAGCAGCTCCAGTGCCTAAAGGGGCTACAAGAAACCTGGAGAGGGGCTTTGGACAAGGGCCTTTAGGGACAGGACAAGGGGGAATGGCTTTAACCTGACAGAGGGGAGACTGAGATGAGCTCTTAGGCAGAAATTCTTCCCTGTGAGGTGCTGAGGCACTGGCACAGGGTGCCCAGAGAAGCTGTGGCTGCCCCATCCCTGGCAGTGTTCAAGGCCAGGTTGGACGGGGCTTGGAGCAGCCTGGTCTAGTGGAAGGTGTCTCTGACTGTGGCAGTGGGTTGGAATTGGATGAGCTTTAAGGTCCCCTCCCACCCAAACCAGTGTGTGATTCTATGATATGATTCTATGATCATAGCTGTTGAGGAGCAATACACTTGTGCATACTGGAAAATGTGATTTTAAGGTATAGGTTCTGAATAAAAAGACTGTCAGGGTCAGCACATTGACTATAGGTGGGAATAATAAGCCAGTAATTACAGCTGCAGCTCCAGCATCGCTGGGAGAACAAAAAATATCACATAAACAGTAACCCCATGGGTCAAGCTTGGGGTTGTTTGTTAAAAAATAGGACTCTAAAAGGAGAGAGAGTTTGCAACCTAAATAACTACATATCAATAATAAAGAAAAGAGAAGAGTCCACTTAAATGTACCATTGTCTATGAAATGAGGTATGTAAAATGAAGCAGAAAACAATGAAAGTTTTGGCACAGTCATCTTATTTTGAAGGCATTTCACTGATCTTAATAAAAAGAAAAAAAAGAAAAAAAACATGAATCCTAAAGAATACAGATCAAACCTGATCAGGCGATTTCCAGCTGTGACCATGCGCTGTTCCATTCACCAAGCAGTGTTTGACTAAATGAAGTCCCCGGTGACAGCTCTTCAAGAAGAATTGAAGTGCTCAGAAAGGTGTCACTGATATAATGACCTAGATTTTATGGCTTTGTGCTTCCTCTTTGATAAATGCTTGCTAGGTATTAATTGCCCTTCCTCTGTTGGCAATGAATGTAATTCATTCCTGATGATGAATATAGTTCCAGTAATCCAAATGACTTCCATTTTCATACTGTTTTTTGACAGGAAGCCTCTTACTTGCCAGCTATTGACACATTGCCTAGTCCACACAGTATGAAAAATGAGGTGCTACTTCTGACCTTTCGGCTGTCAAGTTGTGGCCAAGTAGCTACAGATCAGCACAGGGAGCAGGGGCCTGCCATGCTGCTGAGAGCAGCCAAAATCTACCAGGCTCTTGTGACATGGCTGCTCTCTCTGGTGAGTACCTGTGGTGAAAGTGCACAAAAGATTCTGCATGATTAAGGCTGTGTTTTGCCTATATATATTCTGATGAATATACAATAATTCTTGAAATCACCTTCTTCCAACAGCTGCCAAACAGTGGCTGAACAAAGGGGAAATTATGTTCTAACTCACCTTAAATTCAGTAAATGTGTCTTGCTGAAGTCAGGGGGTCTGGATTGTGCCTGTAGTTCACAAAGAACAAGGCACAAAAAGTAAAACATTGCTGGGCCAGACTCACAATGGTCAGAAGGGACTACTGAAGTAGAGGGCTGTGGAAGTACTATACCTCGTCCTTGGAACAAGAAGCAGATGCACATAAGTGCCTATTTCTTACCACTTGTTCTGGTTAAGAATAGATCCTTTCTGACAGTCAAGAGGTCTGTAAAAAGTGGTGGTCTGTTTCCTCTTAATTGTCCTTTGGATCATATAATTTTCTCCTCTAAAGGAACCACCTATTCCTCACTCTTCCCATCCACCCCATATTAGCCTTTTCTCCTAGGAAGAGCAGGGTATGTGTATTTCTCCTCCTGCACGTTGGCCTCATTCTTTTTCCCTGTTTAAAGACCTTGGAATACCAATCCCAACCCGTGCACTCCAGGTAGGTTTCACCCTGAGCAGACAAGGTTTTTAAATCACTTAAACTCCACTTAAACAGTATTAGTTTTTAAGGATGCTCTCCCTTCCATCAAAACATTGCTAACATTCTTTTATGTTAGTTCAGTGCTAATGAAAATCATCACTTCAGCAGCACCAGAGTCTGAATCTTCCAATCAGAAATTAGTCAGCTCATGACCAGCTGCAGTGTGAGTTTTCTTCCCTAGTATTATTCACATTTAAACCTGAGCTCTGACTTGTAGCAGCTTTTTCCAAGGGTATCTCATCTTCCAGGGCTCAGCATCACTCTACTAAGACTACAGGGTCAAATGTTGTAACGGACTTTGTGCCCAGGAGAAACCAGGCTAAACTCCACTGATTATTTTTCTAGAGAGGTTCTCAAACAGCTGTTGGGTAGCAATGAAAAAGTCTTTAATTGAAAGAAGTGGAAAGGTTGGGGCATATTTATCCCAGATTCTCTTCTGGTCACAATTCATGCCCCTCCACTGATTCACTGGCCTCCAAGCTTACCTATTGATTTCTATCAGCTTATCTATTGATTTCATTGGAGATGTGCTGATATCTATCAGTAGAGAGCATGACTCTTCCGATGGGACTATTCCCCAGTGGTGGATCTGCTGTGGGATTTCCTGTGTGAAATTAGTGTTCAAAGTAGTCAAGGACTTTGTAGTGTTATTTTGAGTTGTACAGCTGACCTATGCAGCAGTTTGAGTATCCAGTCGGGCCCTATGGGGAGAACATATTTCTGAAGGCATTTATCTTGCTGTAAATAGTTTTGGTTTATATATACAGTAAATAGCAGAGCTGTTAATCCATCATGACCATGGTGATGGTATAGACCATGAGAACAAGACATAGTGGCTTCTGTATTCACCAGAACCCAAGGAAGGAATTGCATTCCTATAATTCAAACATACCATCTCTGCTTCACATGGTGGCTGCTACTCCTTTTTCATGGCTTTGCCAGTTGCCTTAGTTTGGCATTCCCATAGCCTTCTGCCCTCTTTCACCTGCTCCCCAGGTTTCAGGATGCTTTGCAGTACCACAGTGCCTTCCCCGACTGTTTCAAGTATCATTTCTGCCTCTCTTCTACCCAGTAATAAATTTTCTCATGTATTCTCTATGGTAAAGCTCATTATGTTTCAGCCTCATGAGCCAAACAGTGGTCTGTCCTGCTCAAACCCTGTCTCTGGAATGGAAGTGATATTCATGATAAAAGATGTCCTGTGATCATTTTGTGGTTGGCAGAAGTTGCTTTTTACCCTTATTGTTTTGGGTCTATATTGGAAAATAGAATGTTTGCCTCCCACACACACCTCAGTCTAAGAGGTGTATTTGCTAGAGAGGGGCAGATGGAGTTTTGGCTATTAGTGATCACTAAAAGGGAAGACCAAGGCTTATTCAGGAAGCCTGTACCAGCTCCCCAGAATAGCATAACCACTTAGCATTGATTTTTGAACTGAGATTGGCTCAATCTCATTACCATTAATAAAGGCAGCACATGGTGCCACTGTGACAAGAACATGAAGTGCAGCGTTGACAGGGACTGTTCCCATTTCTTGCTGGAATAGAGAACTAGTGCAAATTCTGACTCTCACATAGCAAAACTGCTGGAAGTCAGAGTCTGCAAGTCCACATTGACAAAATAAATCCTATGACTTATCAAACCCTACATGTTATTCCTATTTAATTTGGACTTTATTGATTTTCTTACAGGCTCAATCACAGTTAATCCACAAATTGAACATGAGTGTTTATTGAATTATTGTACATTATGGGGGTCTACTCAAAAGCAACAGAGCAAGATAAAGGGTTATTTTGAGTTTCTAAATCCAGCCATCTAAAAATGAAATTATGTTCAAATGAATTTACAGGTGCCTTCTGTGAAAATGGAAGATGGACCCAAAGCTCTGTTTGAGGTGGTAGGGCTGCAGCAGGCCTCGGGAGAGGGTGGCTTGGCCCTACATGCTTGTCTAACAGCAGCAGATGAGCCTTCAGCCCAGAACAGCACTGAGACCCAGAAGATAAAAGTGAGTAGCAGTGTTTATGCTTGCTACTCATGCACAGCAGCCACAGGCAGTGACCACTGGTTTTCACTAAGGCCCAGGCTTGGATATTGGCTTGGCCAATTCAAGTTCCAATTTCAGTGAGCCAGTACAGAGCATGAGTGCTGCTCTAAATTAGACTGAGGGAAGAGCTCAGTACTGTGGGAACTGAATGATTGCTTCCAGCTGATTGCCAACTCAAGCTGTCCTCAGTTATGCTGAATTTAGATTTAGTGCAGATGAGAAACCAGCTCTCTGTGGTGTGGGTTTTTTGTCTCTACTGCTCATTAGCTGGTAAGACGCTTTTGGAGGCTATAACCCCACCGTGCAGAAATTTAACTGGATTCAGAGGAAGTATATCTTTGGCATGTGTTATAGGTTTTCTTTCTAACTTTTCTATTTTAACTATGTGAAGTTCCAGAGGGAATATTGTCTTGCTGTTTGGCTCCCAGGAGTCAAGACCCAGAGGCAGGACCTTAGACGCTGTTCCCTCAGCTCTGGTAGACTGCAGTCTGTGCTGTGTAATAAAATGCTAGTCTGAGAGGTGTAGCACACAACTGATAATCCAGCACATACAGGTGTAATGAAAGGGATGATATGAACTCATATCCTGAAAACAGCAGAGCTGTGAAATAGCAGCCCTGGGTTCTAGTTTGTTGGTTCTGTTGTTTCACAGAGCAAATGTCTTTTTTTTGGAGACAGTATTTTAGGTATTATCGTTACTGCTTCCTGGTATAAGTGCCTATCCTACCTATGCAGAATAGCTGACTTGCTGGAAAATGTATGCAGCTACATTTGGAGAGCAGCAATCCTTGTGTACCCCAGATCTCCTGTGGGTCATTTGCTTGAATACCTATACTGTGACAGAATAATCTCTAAGGTGCTGGCCCTGCACTCTGTTGAGGCTGGTGAGTTTCTTTCAGGTGGCTGAAAATAACACTTGTGGCTTTAGTGAGCTGGTAGTAGATTTTTCTACCCTATTTTTGCTTGCTTCACCCCTGATGATGTTAGCAGGAGTGTGGCAATGTATGTGCTCATTCTCCACACTTCCTCTGTGCTGAGAAGACACAATAGCAGGTGGTCTTAGAGGGGCCTAGGTATCTGAGTCATACCTGCTGGACTCACCATGTGAAGTTTAAATGGCAGAAGAGGTGTAAAGATGGTTTTAAAATGTCCTTATGCTTCCCCTATTTGGCTGCAGCAAACATCCTTTGCTTGCAGCTGCCTGCCTGTGAGAAGTAAAGATTACATTGCCCATAATGTATCATAAAGGCTGGAGTATGACAGCTGTGGCTCCAGTGCTCCTGCAAGGAAATGATTGATGTTGGCAACAAATGTCATGATTAACACACTACCAAAAATCCCAACCCCAAAACACTAAGCAACCTTGCCATTAGTGTTTGAGGACTTGGCAGCAGGAGCTAATGATACTAAGGATCAAGAACAGGAGTAAGCCCTAGGACAAGGGCTTAATGCTGATTTCTGTGTAAAGCAACTGAATTCAAGATGTTTGCTGTATGGAGCAAAAAAAATGGAGGAGGAGAGACTGACCTGCTTTCTGTCTGTGTGCCTTGTTGCTCTCTGGTGGTTTCAGCTGAGGTGTTGGCCATATCAAAATTATTGAGCACTGACTATGCTCAAAATACATACCCTGTGTTATGCAATTAATGAATGAACTTTTGAAGCTGTGGGCTCTGGATGCTCTGAATATTTGGTTGGAGCAGGGATGTGTTGTATCACAGGTTGGTGGAACAAGCTGTACAGAGCTTCCAGTCCATGTATAGATTGTAAATGCTATTCTGGTGCCTCATTTACAGTTCCTGATACTGCTTGAGTTCAGCTAGTGTGTACAGCAGTGGACATCCAAGGCATTCAGTCAGTGTTCCTCAAAGTAGGACTGTGTGTAACTGGGGTTTCCTCTCATTAGAGGCTCTACTGTAGCAATGGCTTTTGACAGTTTTGCTTTCCCCAGGCATTTGTAAAGCTGCTGCTTTCCCTAGCAGAGATTAAGCTGATAGGAACAACACAAGTCTTTGAGAAACTCAGCTGCAGCAGACACAAGGGAAGCAACAGCAAGTAGTCCTGTCTCCCTGTTGCTCCCTGGGCAGTTTCAACTACTGCTAGAGAAAAATTATTGGTGATTGATTTATTCTTCACACTTAAGTGTTCAGGCTCTTGTTGTACTGTTATCATAGAGGTTTTTAACGATTGAATCTGGTAACAAAATTCTGTTGTGGCAGGTTCTTGTGCCAGTTGTCTCCTAGGGGTGTGAAGAGCACCAATTACCATGGTTTACCTTCAAAATAAGGCCCGGTTTCCAGGTGTTTTTGTTGCATCGCTTTGTTATAAGAAAGTGGAGCAATCTTAGTTAATCTTTTTTTTGATTCTATAAAAGAAGCCATACCAAGTAGTGTAAATGTTAACCAGAAGTGTTATGACAAATAGATATTTTAATGTTCTCAAGGTGTAGAGTCCAGAGTGTATTATTCAGTGCCAAAAATGGGTGTGTATAAGACTACACAGACTATTAGGTCCAATTCATGCCTGCTTGATGCTAACATAGAAATGTCTGTCTTTGTGTATCTGTACTCATATCTTGTAATAGCAGAGTAACAGTTGGCCATGGATTTTCTTCACATTGTTACATGACTCTGATTTTTGCAGCAGACATTGTATTGCTGGTCTAAGAGCCTAAGGCCCTATCAGTATCAACAAGGCAAGGTTTGCCTTTCCCCAGCTTGTCCGCTGTTAATTCCTGACCCTACTGTGATTGAACATGCTGAATGCATTTGTTACTTTTTGGCTTTGATGTTATTTGATGTTGGCTTATTGCCTGCTGTAGAGTCACACTGTAATGGTGGGGTACAGTTCACCAAGAACAGGACCAAGGCAGCTGCAGATGTCATGGCACTACAGGTTGTTGCTAGGATATTTTTCTTGGTTTAGTTTGCTTGGGTTCCCCCTCACTCCAAGTTGTTATTAACTGGAGCTGAGCTGTACTCCAGACCTCTAAGCCATCAACTTTTTATTTACTGGACACTTCACTGCCATCTGTATGTCTTTTATTTTTTGTCACATTTTATTTCTCTCTCCCAAGGTCTAATAGTTATGAATACAAATAGAATAATGGTTTCTCAAGGCAAAAGCTCCTGTTCTTACCAGATCAATAAGACTTATTCAACTAGGAAGGCATCTATTTCTGTATCTGGTGGTTTTGCTATGTTTCTTCAGGTTTTTGTGGTTTAGTCTGGCTTGTTTTACTTCTGTCCTCCAAGCAACCAAGAGGAGCAAAGCAAATTCAAACATCCTTGCATGGTTTAGGTTCTTGACTTACTGTCAGAACAAATGCTCGTACAGTCCCCTCTTGCAACTCTTGCATGCTGACAGACAAGCTGCAGTTACAGCCTGTCTGATGGGAATTAGATTTGTACAGAGTATACTTTCTAAGAATCTACTAAGCATTGCCAATTAGGCACACCAGCACCCTGCAGAGCAGCATGGTTCTTGTCTGTATGACTCAATCACACAATGATTCTGTGGTAGCTCAGAATCATAGAATCCCAGACTGGTTTGGGTTGGAAATGACCTTAAAGTTCATCCAGTTCCAACCCCATGCCATGGGCAGGGACACCTTCTGTGCTCACTCACAATCTCTTTCATTAGATAGGGGGGGCTTTGAGTCCTTTCCAGGCTTGAGCTCCACTTTCTAGGTGTGATAATACCTGTTGTAGGAAAGATACTTTGCATGGCTGTTGATTCTGTCAGTTTCTAATTGGGTGTCATTGGGGTCACCAGTTTTGTTCAGTGAAAGTCCTACTAATTAATCATAGAATCATAGAATCATAGAATAGTTAGGGTTGGAAAGGACCTTAAGATCATCAAGTTCCAACCCCCCTGCCATGGGCAGGGACACCTCGCTCTAAACCATATTACCCAAGGCCTCATCCAACCTGGCCTTGAACACTGCCAGGGATGGAGCATTCACAACCTCCCTGGGCAACCTATTCCAGTGCCTCACCACCCTAACAGGAAAGAATTTCCTCTTTATATCCAATCTAAACTTCCCCTGTTTAAGTTTAACCCCTTGTCCTGTCACTACAGTCCCTAATGAAGAGTCCCTCCCCAACATCCCTATAGGCCCCCATCAGATACTGGAAGGCTGCTATGAGGTCTCCACGCAGCCTTCTCTTCTCCAGGCTTAACAGCCCCAACTTTCTCAGCCTATCTTCATATGGGAGGTGCTCCAGTCCCCTGCGCATCCTCGTGGCCCTCCTCTGGACTTGTTCCAACAGATCCATGTCCTTTTTATGTTGAGGACACCAGAACTACACACAGTGCTGCAAGCGGGGTCTCATGAGAGCAGAGTAGAGGGGCAGGATCACCTCCTTCAACCTGCTGGTCACGCTCCTTTTGATGCAGCCCAGGATACAGTTGGCTTTCTGGGCTGCAAGCTCACACTGAAGCCGGCTCATGTTCATTTTCTCATCGGCCAACACCCCCAAGTCCTTCTCCACAGGGCTACTCTGAATCTCTTCTCTGTCCAACCTGTAGATGTGCCTGGGATTGCTCCGACCCAGGTCCATCCATCAAATTGATGTCTCTCCAATTTAGAGACAAGGATGTCATGTGCGACAGTGTTGAACACTTTGCACAAATCCAGGTAGATGACATCAACTGCTTTACCGCTGTCCATCAGTTCTGTAGCCCCATCATAAAAGACCACCAAAATTGGTCAGGCAGGATTTCCCCTTAGTGAAGCCATGCTGGCTGTCACCAAGCACCTTGTTGTTTTTCATGTGCCTTAGCATGCCTTCCAGGAGAATGTGCTCCAAGATTTTGCCAGGCACAGAGGTGAGACTGACTGGTCTGTAATTCCCTGGGTCATCCATTTTCCCCTTCTTGAAAATGAGGTTATATTTCCCTTTTTCCAGTCATCAGGAACTTCACCGGACTGCCATGATTTTTCAAATATGATGGCCAGCGGC